GTAGTCTCATTTCTCCTTTTCTACCACAAACCCACCAGGTTGGGGAGTCTGTTGTCCTCCCGTTCTGCAGGTGAGAATGGGTGACTGAGAGAGGCTGTCTCATGGCCTCTGGCTCACTGCCCTCAACACAGCCTGCACTGCAGGCAGAACCCTCTCCACCGCCCTTGCCCCTGGACACACAAGTACATAGAGGAGTCATATGTGCCCTGGCGCTGACACCTACATTTCTTTTGCAAAGATGGGCAGAGAGGGAAGGCAGCTGACCTAAGTCATGTGGCTGGCCTGTTGGCCTTGTCCGTCCAGCTCTGAGGGTGGTCTTCCAGTCCAAGGAGAAAAGCTAGTGAAGATTCTCCTACTCCCTGGGGTTCTAGATAGCATTTCTCCCCAGGATTCAGGGTGTCTCAGGTCGGATTGCCATCAAGTGTCAAACTCTGGTGCCCACTGAAATGGAGGGTGCTCGGTGGTGGGTGCTGTTCTGATGTGTGTGCGCCATGATTCTGAACCCACTCCCCGAGGCCTGGCCCCAGCTCCCCGCTGGCGAGGAAGCCTCCACTGTGGTCTAGCGTTCAGGCACAGGCTCCAAAGGCTCACATCCAGGGTTAAGTCCCACTGGTCCGTGTCCCTGGGGGAGTGTGAGCAGCCCCCACCTCCTTGCTTGCTGGAAAAGTGGTCCGAGGAGAAGGACAGTGGGCGCGCTCCAGACACACAGCGGGCTGCTCCGACCTTGGCTCCCTTGCCCGGTTGGCAGGGCTCCCACACAGACCTTCTAGGAGATACTGGGGTATAAGCATGGGCTCAAGGAGCACTTGTGGGTGGTTCTTACAGGCGAGGCCCCAACCCTGGTGCACTGGGAGGACCTGGCTCTTTGCACATGCCAGAAGGGCCTCTGTACCCCCGTTTGCCCAACTTCTCCCTCAGGAAGCTACCGCCTGAGGGGTGGTGGTTTCCGCCACCCAGATGGGGCCGTCACAGCATCTTCATGTGCATTAGTGTTGCTGGCTCCAGCCAAGCTCCGAAGCTGATGCCAAATTAAATGTCAGTTGCTTTGAGGATGGTCGGCTGCCTCCCCGGAAGGAGCTAACAGCCACAGAGCTGAGTCTTATGCCAGACTCTGAACCCTTGTGCGTCTATGCTGGGTGTCTGTTCCCTGCAGGGCTTATTTCCAAGAGTCGGTGTGTGAATGCGCGCGCACACACACACATACACGCACATGCTATCTCCACTCTTATGTCTGCCTTTGCAAAGTTCTCGTCTTATCACCCATCAGACACGTGACCTTGAGCGAAGCCCTGGATCTCTAAGTTCTGATGTTGGCGTCTGCAACGTGGGGGTATAGAGTCTGCCTGGAGGTCATGTGAGGATGAAACTGGGTGCTTGTGATAGAGCCCAGTGAGGCCCCCGCGGTCACCCCATGACACGGGATACCAGCTGCTGTGATGTGAAGGCTCTGTCATGTGTGCTGGGTGCCTCAGATGTCATCAGTGCCTGGACACTGTGCCACATGCAGAAGCAGGTCTGGACCCATGCATCCATTGTTGACCAGCCTGTGTTTTGTTTCCAGTTCAGGACCTCAAGGGGCTTGGCTATGAGAAAGGGAAGCCCGTAGGTCTGGTGGGTGTCACGGAGCTGTCAGATGCCCAGAAGAAGCAGCTGAAGGAGCAACAGGAGGTAAGTCTGGGGCCGAGCAGGCAGGCTTCAAAGGGGCTGGTGGAGTATCATCCCCCACCTCATCTCATACTTCAGTGGTTGTGTCGCGTTCTTTCTGAGCCTCCCTGTGCTGGGTGGATCCCACAGTCAGGGGAGAGGTCCTTGGGCAGCAGGCCCCTGTCAGCCGCATTCCACCTCCCAAGGGCCCTCCCCAGCCTGCGTTGGACCCAGAGCTGAGGCCTTCTCACACTGGCTGGGCAGCCCCTGAGGCTGGTGCTCTACAGCTACTCCCCAACACGCTGACTAGGTAGTCTCCATTTTTAAGTTTTCCTTCCAGTGTTCCCCAGCAGCCAGTACAGGACAGGCCTGGCTAGTACTGGGGGCCCTGAACGATGTGACAAATGCTCAGTTGGTATTGGGCTGTGATTGGGGTGAGGGCTGGCTTGGTCTCTCTGCTTCTTTCCTGGGAGGACTACAGGCACCTGTCTGTTGGTCCTTGGGGACACTCAACCCCAGTCACCTTCTCCAGGCTGGCAGCCCCATCACCTCACCTTCAACCCTTCTGTGGTCAGGGGCCTGCGGTGTCCTCCTTTGGTGTCCACAGCAAGGGTGCCCAGGATGTGCTGGGTTCCAGGCCAGACTGGGTGAGGCAGAGAGGGGTCTTCCCTGCTCACACGGGGATTCAAGGAACCCAGGGCATGCCCTGACACCAGACCTTGTGTCTTCTTGAGCACTTGCTCTGGGCCCTGTTCATGTGCCTGCCTTGGGGAGGACAGAAAGCAGGAAGGGTGAGGGCACCTGACATGCGCAGGGAAGGCGAAGGGACTGGCCTCCTGCACGTGTGCTCCCTGGCACTGCTCACTGGTGTGTGCGGCCCGCAGATGCAGCAGATGTATGACATGATCATGCAGCACAAGCGTGCGATGCAGGACATGCAGCTGTTGTGGGAGAAGGCCCTGCAGCAGCACCAGCACGGCTACGACAGTGACGAGGAGGTGGACAGTGAGCTGGGCACCTGGGAACACCAGCTGCGGCGCATGGAGATGGACAAGACTCGGGGTGCGTCGAGGAGCACCTTGCGGGTGGGGTGAGGGACAGGATACCTGGGTGAGGCCATGCCCTAGGCACCGCAGGCTCAGGAGGCCCCACTCACCTGCTCAGGAAGGCACCTGGAGGCACCACCTGGGGTCTTAAGCCGCCTGCACGACGTGTACGGCCTGGAGCAAGAGATCGGCTTCTCTGTCTCCGTTTCCTCAGTGGGAAAAAGTAGTTCTCTAAGCGTTTGTGGCTGTTTGAACATGGCACTTAGCAGGGCTGCTTGGAGGAGCAGGGTTTGGGTGGGGCCTCAACCAGCTGCCTCATTCCCCTACGACCCAAAGTCCCTGCACCCTGCCCAAGACTCATACCTGTGCCGGGGGGCCACCTGGCCCGCTCTCTGCCCTCTTCCTTTCTCTCACTTTCCCCCCCGCTTCTCTGGGCAGAGTGGGCCGAGCAGCTGACAAAGATGGGCCGTGGCAAGCACTTTATCGGAGACTTCCTGCCACCAGATGAGCTGGAGAAGTTCATGGAAACCTTTAAGGCCCTGAAGGTGAGCTGGGAGGGTCCCTGGGCACCAGCTTCTGTTGTGGGCTGGCCGGCAGGCAGGCAGCCACGCCGGTGGCCCAGCCCCTCCTGTTAGCCTCATGAGACAGGCGCCTGAGGCAGCCTCGGGGGCCCCCCTTCATTCACAGGGGGAGCTGGGCCCTCTTGCCTCGGGAGGCATCTGTTGATGATAGACACCGTCTGTGGAGGGAATTAGCAGAAAGCAGCCCAGCTGCCGCTTTAGAAACATTTCCCAGGGCTTCAGGGAAATTCTGCTTTCAGTGGAAAAAATTAAGTGCAGTTTACAGGCAAAGCGTTTCTCAGGCAGAAGCCCCCATGGACTGGGTTCTCCAGAACAAGAATTCACATTCCTGCCATGCTGTCATCATGCTTCTGAGGAGAGAGAGCTGACGGGGCACATCCCATGTCATCTTTTGGGGGATTTTTGTAAAACTGCTTTGTACCACATAACCTCATCAATAAGGCGGTCACCTTATTGACCCCATCTTTTTAGCATTCTGTGTAACGAATTGCCCTCAGAACCTAGGACTTTTCTTTACTGATGAACCATTAATCTTTCCCATGGTGGGTGAAGCCTGTGTGACCCGTCACCTTGCCCTCGTTGACTTTGCCACCAGGCAGCTTGGTAGAGAGTCTGACCCTGGGGACCCTGAAAAGGAGCATCTTGGTCTGTTCTTAAGGAATCTGATCTGGTACAGAGGCTGCAGATGGGCAGATGGTCCCAGCGGCCAGTCCGGCCATTGGTGGTGGGAAGGGGTGGTATTCAGGCCAGAGCCAGGACCCAGGACAGTTGCAGCCCTGGTGGATGACAGCCACCTCCTTGCCCTGCAGGAGGGCCGAGAGCCTGACTACTCAGAGTACAAGGAGTTCAAGCTGACAGTGGAGAACATCGGCTACCAGATGCTGATGAAAATGGGCTGGAAGGAGGGCGACGGGCTGGGCTCAGAGGGCCAGGGCATCAAGAACCCAGTCAACAAGTGAGTGTATGCGCCCCCTGCCACTCCTGCTGGCATCCGCCCGGCCCCCTGCTCACTTGGCCCTGTCACCCCCCCGCAGAGGCACCACCACAGTAGATGGAGCAGGCTTTGGCATCGACCGGCCAGCTGAGCTCTCCAAGGAGGATGATGAGTATGAGGCCTTCCGCAAGAGGATGATGCTGGCCTACCGCTTCCGGCCCAACCCCCTGGTGCGTGTGTTCCCAGCGCCCCATATGGCTCCTGGCTGGGCTGCCCAGAATCTCAGCAGGGGGGTGGCAGTGCTGGTAACAGAGCTGTCTCTCCTTCCCCAGTCCAGCTAAGCCAGGTCTCACTAGCAACTCCCCATCTCTCCACCTGCCCTCCCCTCTGTGAGCTTAGCTGTCCCTGGAACATTCTGGGCAGGAGGAACCACTGTGTTTAGCATTGACCCCCTCCCCTTTTTCTTTTTTGCCTCTCACAGAACAACCCCAGACGGCCTTACTACTGAGTATTCTGGAAAAACGCACAATTGTATTTTCCAAACGACTGACCTTCCCTGGACTGTGGAATGTTCTGGCCTGCATTTCTGCCTGCCCTTCCCGTTATCTCAAGTGTCATGCCGTGTATTAAAGTTCCAGTGCTTGCCTACCAGGGCAGCCTGGTTTTGCCATCACCAGAAACCGCTCTGTTTCCATAGCAGCGGGGCTGGGCTGGGCAGATGGGGCTGGGATGCTGCTGGTAAAGCTCCCTGGTGCCTGAGAAATAGGAGAGAACCATCTAGAAATCTGTCTATGGGGCCCCTCACCATCAGCCTGGGTTAGAGTTGAGGGGAGGATCCACAGATCCTCTGAGAGAGACTGGTGGCTGACCAGCCAAGACCTGGCTGCACCTGGACCAGGGGCATCAGGGACCTCCCAGTGTAGCACTGTGCTGCAGGAGTTAGGTTGGAAGGGGTCCCCAGACAGGGCCCAGCCCTCTTCAGATCTGTGGGGCAGGTGGACCCAGGGCACACCTGTGCCAGTCACCTCACCAGCAGGTGGCGTTGACGGCCCCTCCCCGAAGCTTATCTGTGACAGTTGCAGCCCAGGCTATCCCAGTAGCCAGTGGGGTGGACACAGGAGTCCCTGGGCCTCGTGCCTTTAGGGGACAACTCTGTGGACAGATGCAGCATGCCAAGTGCTCCCTACATCTCCAGAGCCTGCACCTCATATTTGTGCCAAGACTACCTGGGGATCTCATTCAGTTGCAGCTGCTGAGTGAGCAGCTTGGGTGGGATCCTAGGAATCCAAGAGCCTTGCTTAAAGTATGGCTTGGAGCCCTGAGGGATCCCCACAACCCACCCATCTGCCCACACATGTGCCTAGTGGGTCCTGCTCAACCCCTGTGGGCTCAGGGGCTTAAAGACTCCAGCTGGAGTTCGGCTTCTGGGCCAGCCTGCATTCTCGTAGTCATTGAGTAAACAGCACCAACTGTGTGAACTGGATGGATAGGCTCTGCCCCCTGGCAGCCAGTCTGTTGTGTACATGGTGGTGAACCTGAGACTGATAAATGCAAAGAGGAACTGGGTGCTGTCTTGGCAGCAGCCTGGGGAGTGTCTCAGTATGGGGGAGGAGGGCATCCAGGGACTGGGAGTCTCAGCACAAGAGCCCAGGCAGGGATGACATATACCACCCTGTCTCCCTTCCATAGACACTGTGCCCAGGGCAGGGCCAGGGGTGACATTCCCATGTGTGGAGGCTGCCCAGTGGTCCCAGGTCTTGAGCACAAGAGTAGCTCTGGGCAGCCAGAGGTTCCAACGATAGGGATCCTAGGCCTTGGTCCCAGGCACCTCGCCATCCAGGTCAAGGTCACCCTTCAATTGAATTAGTGACCTGGAGGCTCTCCAGACTTAGCCCATGGACTTTACCCCCAGGCAAGTGGAGAGGTGGAAGAGAATGGGCCCCAAATTCGGTGTGCATGCACATGCACATCCCAGACACAGATGCAAGGCCAGGTTGCTAGACAGAGCTGGATCAGACACCCCTGGCCTTGGAGGAGGAGGAGGAGTGGGGCTGGGGTGGCAGAGAGGGCTACCTGGAGGAGGGGACATTGGGATCTGCTTTAAGGGCTGAGGAAATACTAGAGGGTCCATCTTGCAGACAGGAAAGAGGCCTGGGGGGGTGTTGGCATCGCTAGAGCTGGGAAAAGTCAAGAAATGAGACTGGAGCCTCAGGTCAGCCCAGAGGAACCTGAACTTAACCCATGGGCAATGGACAACTGGGAGGGAGGCTAGGAGGGAGGCTGTCAGGTTGGTGGCCAGAAGATCATCTTGTCACCCAGGCTCAGAGATGGGACCCAGGTGGCACAAGGCCAAGGGGCTGCATGGAAAAAGGGTGAGGGTTAGAATCTTCCCCACACACAGACTGTGGGCCTCCCCCAAGGCACCTGCTCACTCTTTTCCAGCAGCCACAAGTAACACATGGGCGAGAGTCCAAGGTGGGTTGGAGACGGTTGCCTCCTAATTCTCTCCCTACCCTACTATAGTCCCCTCCCTGGTGCAGCCCCCCCCCCCCCCCCCCCCGTGCCATGCCCTTTGCATTTTCACCTGAACCAAGCCCAGCCTCCTGCAGGCTGTTCAGAATCCTCCCTCAGCTATCCCCTCTGAGCCCCCCACCACACCCCAACCCCAGGCCTGAGCTATTCTCCTTGCCAGAAACACTGTTCTAAACTCACCAAACTAGCAATCCATGCCTAATCTAAGCCCACCCTTTGGACTCCCTCCCTTTGACACCACCCACTGAGCAGGGACACAGCCTCAGCTGCCCACGAGGTGCCCAGGCTACATGGAAGGAACACAGCACACAGAGTCCTTCAAGGGACCCGCCCAACCCATGACCTTGGCTGCCTGCCTTGAGATGATCCCCAGACCCAGTCAAAGCTTTACACCCGGACACGTGTTTAAATGTGTGTGGCCACTGTGTGAACACTCAAATCCAAGGGCCCTGAAGGCAACTCCTTGTGTCCAAGTGACTGAGGTTCCTCCGTTGGCGCAGAATGCCGCCAATGCCCCTTTGATCCTAGGGGGAAGAAGGTCTAGGGAACGTGGAATTAAAAAGGGTCCCCTTCAGGGTCGAGGTAGGTACACCGGTGGCTTAGGACGGAGAAAGTAGAAGCCAGAAGGAGGCCTGGAGAACAAATTCCCTTAGAATGAAGCTGCTGGCCCAGGGCCTCCAGGTTGCAGTCCTGGGCCTCACGAGCGGAAGCGTCCGGAGACATGGTGTTCTAGCCTTGAATAGTGAAGCTGAGGCTGGGCGGCGTAGAGAACCGCGCTGAGTCCGGTGACGGCGAAGCCGGGGGAGGGGTGGGGGAAGGGACCACTTCAAGGGGGAGGGGCCTCAGAGGCTCCCCGGGAGCGCGCTGGACGGTCAAGGTAAGGCGTCCAGACCAGGGCGCAGCGGCGGGCGACCTTTGCGCGGGGCGGGGCGGGGCGGGGCCGGGTCCCCGGCACCCTCCCCCTACCCCAGACGCGCGGCCGCGGAGGAGCCGAGCGCCCTGGAGGCCGCGCCGGGACCGAGCCGGGGTCCGGGCGCCGCTACTATGGACATCCCGCCGCTGGCCGGCAAGATCGCGGCTCTGTCGCTCGGCGCCCTCCCCTTGTCCTATGCGCTCAACCACGTCTCGGCGCTCTCGCAGTGCGTGAGGGGAGAGGCCAGGGCGGCCACCGGGAGGGGGGCGGGCGGCGGGGCCGCGCTGGCGGTGGCGGGGAGAGAGGATGCGCGGGCGGCGAGCCTGGCTCCCCCGAGCCCCGAGTCCCTGCGCAGCTCCTGCCAGGAAGAAGGGACCTAGGCCAGAACTACCCCCTGCCCCATCCAACCTGAAGTCCCCTCTCCGCCGGCCAGGAGGCTGTGTGGTGAGGGTGGGGGCGCTCCTGGGACGTTTAGGGCTTGAGGAGGAAGGAGGCTGAGAAGCAGAGCCTCCCCACAGGGCAGAGTTTTGGAGGGTTTGTGGGGTTTCCCAGGGATGTGCCCAGCTCCAAAGTTACCAAAGGTCAAAGTATTGGCCCAGATAATGGCCTGATGACCCAGCTCTTGACACACTCGGACACGCGTTCTCTTCCAACAACCCTAGCAGATGGCCCCTCCATTGCCTCTCTCAGGCCTGAGACTTTCTCCTGTTAAGGTTTGGCCCACCTGTCTTTAGCCTCAGTTTCGCCTACATGCTGTGACCTCCCTTGTCTCCTAAACTAAACCCCAGACCTGTGGATCCTGCCACTGGAGTACCAGGCATATGCAAGCCCCTCACACTCCCAAACCTAGCTCAACTCAAGACATGGAGTACAGGGAGTATTGCCTGTGGGGTTGTCTCCTTGGGTACAAATTCCTGGCTCCATCCCCCTGGATGAATGAGTCAGGTTGCTTCTGGGAGCCTGAGTTTCTTCAGTGTGTAATGAACATAATCCTCGACCTCGTCCCATAGTTAGAGTTAAGGATTACAAATTGTGTGCAAAGGCTTGTGTGGTCTTATCTGATTACTATAATTGCCATTGTTGGTCAGATGGGACCAGGATGGGGATCTTAGGTGTCAGAGAGGTCCATGAGAAGGTAGGAGCCTGGAGAAAGTGTAGAGGAGTCTGGGAACCTGGATAGCTTTCCCAACCACCCACTCTGCCCACCTGTGTTGGAGGCTTCCAACCTGATTTCTTTTTCTTATCTATGCAACTGGTTGACCTGTCTTATCTGGTTGATGGGGTAGATCAGGGCAGGGGTGGGGTGGAGTTGATAGAAACATTTGGACTTCAGCTAGGAGGAGTCAGGAGTTTCAGAAAGTGAGGTGTACAGTGCTGAGCACTAGAGACCTGGCAGGGCCTTGGGAGCTGGGTCTGACCACAGAGTGGCTTGGTGATGTTGAATGACTGACAGCAAATTGAGTTAAACACATATCAGCAAGTGACAGGATGGATTGTATAGTCAGAAAGAGTTGACTGATGCCCCCTCTGTACTTGGCCTAAGTTGGGCAATGATTCTAAGGAGTCAGGGAGGGCTTCCTGGAGGAGGAGCCATGAAAGATAGGCCACGAAAGATGAGTAGGCATTTGCCAAGTGGAAGAGACTTCTGGAAGGAGTTTCCAGGAAGGAGAAACAGCTCAGGCAACAGCCTAGTGATGGGAAAGGGCAGTTGCAGGGAACAAGATTCCTGGATGGAAAGACACTTCAGTCTCAACATCTGGAGCATCCTAGAATCTGCTTTTGCCCTCACCAGGGTGGGTGAGGCCTCAGCACTGGGCCTGGCCTCTCTGACTTGTTTTCCCTCTCCACAGCCCCCTGGGGCTGGCATTGATGAGTACCCTGATCCTGGGCCTGCTTTTTGTGGCTATCTACAGTTTGTCCCCCGGCGAGATCTACTATGACCCACTCTATGCTGGTGAGTCAGTCGGAGAGAACTGTGTGAGCAGGGGCCTCCTCCATCCCCTTGAAGGGCTCCCATCAGGCTGGAGAACCTCAAAAAGACTGGAGAAACTTCATTGGTTGGGGAACCTCAGAGGGCCTCCCCCGTCAGACCTGGGGCTCCTGAGAGCAGGACTGTATCTTCCCATCAGACTGGGAACCCCTGAAAGACCATACTTCCTCATCACTTTGGGATTTCCTGAGGGCAGGGTCAGTGCCTTCTCAGCCTGAGGCCTCCCAAAGGCAGGGACTGTGCCTCCTCAAGAGGCAGGGCTATGGGTCATGTGACTTGTGGAGTGGCGACTGGGAGCAGTTGGGTGTGGTTCCTTGCCTGGACTCTGGTTCCCAGAAGAGTGCCCCCAGGCCCCGCCCACTTTCCCCACAGTGTTCGCTGTCTTCGCCTTCACCTCGGTGGTGGACCTCCTTATTGCTCTCCAGGAAGATGGCTACGCGGTGGGCTTCATGGAGTTCTTTACCAAGGAGGTATGTAGGGGGCCGCCCGGGATGCCTCCTGCCCTGCTGCCCAGCTGAGCCCTGACCTGCCCCTGCAGGGAGAGCCGTATTTGCGCACTGCACATGGAGTCTTCATCTGCTACTGGGACGGCACGGTTCACTATGTCCTCTACCTGGCCATGGCTGGTGCCATCCACAGAAGGTGCATGGCGGGGGAGTGGGGGTGGTGGCACCTGGATCCTGGGAAGGAGATCAAGTTCTCAGGTGGGGTCCCATGCCTGGGTGCAGTCAGCAGTGTCTGTAGGGGAAATCTCTAGGGCTCCAGCCAGGAGTGGCCAGGAGAAGGTTCCAAGGAATGTCACAGGTGTAGGTGGTAGTCAGCTCTCTTCTCTTGTACACCCCTGTGCCTAAGCAACCACTTCTGTCCCTGGACAGATGGTCTGTTCAGTCCCCCATTCATCTCCCTGTTGTCCCTTCTGTCCTGGACAAAACTGGGAGGGACCCAGAGCTGGGGAGCCCCGGGTGGACTCTGGGCCATGGCTAGGGCTCTGAGACTGGGGAACAGGCATCTGTTGGTCACCCCTCCATCCCCCACCCTAGGAAGAGATACCGGAACCTTGGACTGTACTGGCTGGGATCTTTCATTATGAGCATCCTGGTGTTCCTCCCAGGAAACCTCCTTGGTAAGGACTGGACTTTGAAGGATCCCGTCTCCTCAGGCTGGGTTACTGTCCTGTGCCTAGAAGGTTCATAGGTAGGTCTTGGGAGGTAGAGGGGAGAGGCAGCCCAGTATGTGGGGGTGGCTGAGCAAGAGGGACACCCAAGATGTATCCAGGAGAAGCAAAGAACAACTGAAATATAGAAGCCATATCCAGAAAATAAATTGAGGCAGGCCAGGCTGAGGAGTCTGGACACCATCTTATGAGCACTGGGGAGCCAGAGGTGCTAGAGCTTGAATAAAGACTGCATTTATGAATTACTACTTCCAGCCAGGGATTCTGGTGTGATTCACCTATGGGTCTGGCCAGGCCTGGGTGATCCTCGCTGAGTGACACCCCCTCTCTCCTACCATGACAGGTAAATACAGCTCAGAGATCAGACCCGCCTTCTTCCTTGCCATCCCCTATGTGCTAGTCCCATGCTGGGCTGGTATGAGGGTCTTCAACCAGTCCCGGGCACCAACCTGCTGTACCCCCAATGTGGTAAGTGCCTTGCCACCAGACAGTTCCTTGTGCCAACATGCCCGAATGCCCCTCCTCCCCCCAATTAGAGTTGCTTCTGATCAAAACCATTGCCTCTTTGGAAGGATCTCGTTGGCCTTTAGGAAAGAAGGGAGGAGCCTTTATTGAGTGCCTGTTGGATACCCGACTTCTCACACTGTCTCTCTCCCATGGGGCAGGTACAGGAGGAACAAAGAAAGGGCATCCTGCGACGCCCGGTTGACCTGGCCCTTGTCATATACCTCACCCTCGCTGGGTTCTTCACCCTCTTCCGGGGCCTGGTGAGTCTGCAGTGGCCAGCCTACCTTTCTTCTACCTCCAACCCCCTTTCCTGTCCCCACCAACCATGTTCCTTTCACCAGTGCAAAAAGGCCACTGCCCGCCAGTCTGGTCATCCAGGGAAGTTCTTCATCAAGTCTGATCTGAGTGTTCCATGACAAAGCCCCATTCTCTGTAACCTTCCCACCAAAGTGAAAGAACCAAGCCTCGGGGAGGCCAGAGCAAGGGGTATGGGAGCCGCCTGGGAGGGTGGAGAAGGCTTCTTGTGGGAAGAATGTTTGAGGTGGGTTGTTGGTTTGTCTGTCTGCCCCAGGTGGTGCTTGACTGCCCCACAGATGCCTGCTTTGTCTACATCTATCAGTACGAGCCATACCTACAGGACCCCGTGGCCTATCCGAAGGTGCAGGTGAGAGGGCAGCTGCGAAGAGAGGGCCATATGGTCCTGCCATCGGTAGAGGTCTAGCAAGTCCTCTTTGAAGCAGGTAGCAGAAACACAAGTCAATCTGTTGTCCTACCAAAAATGTCTGTTTTCCAAAATGAAGACAGATATGGTCTTCAAGTATGGCTGGATCTAGGAGCTAAGGATAACTCTGTCTCTGGGCTCTGCTTTCTTTGCCTGGACTCCACTCCCAGGTAGTCACTTTGTGGGATTGTGGAGACAGCCTTGGGCAGCAACAGGCCTCCATCTGCCCTACTTAGCCACCCCAGAGGAATGTGAGTGATTATTTCTCCAGAGCTTGAGTACAAATCTCAGGCAGACTCTGATTGGCCCGCGGGCCATCATCACTGAATAACGTGCACATCCTGTCGCTGATCATTATGGCCAGGGGGGCTGGAGTGTTCCAGTTGGCCAGGCCAGGGTCACGTGCCACTTCTGGAGTAACGTGGGTGGGCTCAGTGTGTCTGCAAGTGGTGGCAGCGGTTGGGGGAGGGGCAGATATCGAGGAGCAATGTGCACAGGGTTGGGACGTGCAGAGAGCCGCATCATGGGTGGGTTCTGAGGCTGGCCAGATCCTCCCTGGGGCCTCCACCTCAGGGGGCTCAGGGAGGCCACTGCTGCTCATCCTGTGGGTTGTATGCCCCTCAGATGCTAGTGTACATGTTCTACGTGCTGCCCTTCTTTGGCCTGGCTGCTTATGCCCTCATCTTCCCTGGCTGCTCTTGGCTGCCTGACTGGGCCTTGGTGTTTGCTGGAGCTGTTGGCCAGGTATGGTGGGGTGTGGGGGACGTGCGGTGGGGTCTGTAGGGAAGAAAGTTTCTGCCTACCCATCAATTGCTTTTGTGCTTTCCCTGAGCAGGGGGACGCTGAGCCTCTGAGAGGCGCCAGCCCCAGCTTGATACCTTAGGATTCCCTAGTCTCGGGGAGAAAGTACCTGACACTAACACTCCCAACCCCATGGGGGGGGTGTGTGGTCAGAACTGGAGAGAGGGAAGGATAGGGGCTGAGAGCAATTCCAGAAGGGGAAGATTTCCTAGGAGAGTGAGCCTAGGAGCTGGGCTTTGATATATGGGTATGAGTTCTCTAGGCAAGGAAGAGCATTTCAGGAATTGGAACAGCATAAAGACGCCAAGGGGGATAATGGTTTAGCAGAGCTACAACATGGATAGAGGCAGAGGCAAGAGAATTTGACAGCTAGATGGTGAGGGCTTTGAACTCTGAGCATGGAAGAGCCATGGAATGTGTCTGAGCTGTAGAGGGCCCAGTCAGAGCTAGGGGGCCTGTTTCAGGGTTCCTGATGGAAAGTGATAAAGCCTGGGCCTAGGCCTGAGCAGTGGAGACCAAGAAGACATCCCCAGGGTAGAATCAACAGGATTTGTGTCAAGTGTCAAGTGCTGCTTGGGGTAGGGAAGAGCAAGAGGAGGAACTGGACCCAGATCAAGGAGATGGGAAACAGGGAGGGCCCAGCAGAGAGTGAAGATGGTTCTGGTTAGACAGCTGGGGAGAGGCTCATAGCCAGATGGAAAAGGACACAGGAAATGTGGGGACAGGGATATTTAGAGGCAGACAGATGGGCTAGAGAAGGGAGACAGGCCAGCAGCCAGTGAGAGGGACAGAGACCCTCTGGGCTCCCTAGGGTGGGATGCTGGTGATGCTGGGACTTGTTCTTTCCTGGCCCCTGACATACATCCTCCCTGTATGGCCACTAGGCACAGTTCTCGCACATGGGTGCCTCCATGCACGTGCGCACGCCCTTCACCTACCGTGTGCCTGATGACGCCTGGGCCTGCTTCTTCGGGTGCAACCTGCTGTATGCGCTGGGTCCCCACCTGCTGGCCTTCCGCTGCCTGTGGCAGCCCGCCTTCTTCCTGCGCCCGCCCCCTGGTCCCCTGGACCACCACAAGAAGGATCACTGAGAGTGCTGGGGACTCCCCAGGACTCTGTTTCCATGCTCAGACAGCCCTGCTCTGGGAAGGGTGGGCTGGGTCTTTTAGAAGCAGGAAGTACATCTCCAGGTGTCTTTGGTCCTGGCTATGGTGGTATCAGGCCAACGCATGGGATGGGACAACTAGGGGCCAGATGTTCCCTTGAGGGCTGGACACGCTCAGCTGTCACGGTACCCCAATCCCACACAGACTGTTCTACTCCAGAATTTACCCATCGTACCCCCATGGATCCTTTATAGTAAAAACAAAACACAAAACACAAAACTTATGATGCCCAAATACTGCTGCTGCCTGAGTGTTTCGGGATTCAGAGGTGAGGGACCTGCTTCTCAGACCCCATGAGGGCCTGCCCATCACTGCCAGCATGAACATCAGGAACTGGAGGTACTGGCCAGCAGAAGTCTGCCTCTGGTTGGTGTGCACAGCTCCATCTTCCAGATGGGGAAAACTGAGGCTCAGAGTGGTCCAAAGACCTGCCTGAGGTCGCGATCAGGAGAGAAAAATCCAAAATCCAAGCTCTGACAATAAATTATAATAACTAATGGCGTGGCAGTTATTAAGCACCTACAATATACCATTACCAAAGGCCAAACTCAAGTGCTACATGCTGGATCTCACCCTATAGTCCAGATAGGGAACAACCTGTAGGTGGTAAAGGTCCTGGTCGGAGGTCACGGCTCCTAGATGCAGCTGAGCTAAAGGACCCAGCGCCAGCCTAGCCCATCCAACCATGGACCCTATAACCCTGCCTCTGCTGTATGGTTGGCTCATATTTTGGGGAAACTGAGGCTGAAGAGGCCGCCAAGGGGTTGGGGAAAGGCATATTTTTTCCTGATTCGATTTTTGAACTTGGGCAAAGGGCCAGGTTTGTGGGTGACTCAGGCCCAGAGTGGGTCTGGGGCTTGATCAGGCTCCCCTGCTCCCCGCTCCTACCAACATTTATTAGGCACCTATTGTGTGTCTAATCATTGGATCTTCACCAAAGAACCAGCACTCCATTTCCTGGAGATGGAAACAGGCTCAGAGAGACCAAGCGTCTCTTCCAAGGTCCTACAGCAGGTGAGAGGGTCAGATTTGGACCTGTTGCTGCATATTCCCTCTGCAGTGTGTTTGACTGTTGTGGGGCCCCACCCGCAGAGTGAGCACCTTTTGGGTGCCAGAGCCCAGGACGAGACGATGGCCACCAAGTGACAAATGGGAAAACAGACCTGCAGGCCAAAGCCCCTGGCTCACCTTGGGCATCCTAGATGGAAGACTCCGTCAGGCCGCCCCCCCCCCCCACTCCGCCCTCCATTTTAAAGAGAGTTAAACTGCGGCCCAGAGGTTCCTCTTCCCGCCCAAGATCAGCCAGCAAGATCAGCGACGTGGTCCTGCATTCGCTGTCTAGTGGAGTCCTTCCTCCGCCCGCGCCCCGGTTTCTCCGCGGAGCACGCGTCGCCGCGTTCCCTTTAAAGCTCCTCCCCGCACCCCCAACCGCTTCCCTCCTCCCCTTGCAGGCAGACGCCGGGATTGCGCCGCCCGAAGGGACTTGCCCAGTCCTTCCTGGGTGTGCGGGGAGCGCAGTCCCGGCGCGTAGGGGCCGCTCGGCGGGGGCCGCACGGGCAAGATGGTGAGTGGGTCACGGGCGCGGGTCCCGGTAGGTCCCTCTCTCGGATTGTGTCTCGCTCTGTGTCTGAATCTACGTCCCTCCGTGTTCCTCTTCTCAGTCTCTCCCCGCTCCGTCTCTCCAATCCCTTCCGTCTCTCCCCCTCTTGTATCTCTGTTTCTCGAACTCTGCCTCTCCTTTTATATCCCTCCCCGCCTCTCCCCACTTTTCTCTCCCTCTTTTTGTCGTACTGGTCCCGTTTCTTTTCCTCTGAGTCTCCGTCTCTCCCTACCTCCAAGCCCCCTCTTCTCTTTTCCCCTCTTGCTCTCTTTGCTCTCTCCCTTTCAGTCTCTTGTCTCTCTCCATCTTTCCTTACCCTTCTCTGAATCGCTCCCTCTCTATCCCCATCTCTCCCTGCTTTTCTCTCTGTCTCTGTCTCTTTCCCTTTCCTCGCTCTCTCCCCGTGTCTCTACCTCTCTCTGGCTCTACCCCTCGCGCCCCCCTTCCCCCCCGCCGCCCCCACACCCGGGCAGGTTTGCTGCAGTCTCCTGGCGCACGGATAACCTTGCTGCTGCCACTGCTCCAGCTCCTCCCCCTTCCCTCCCAATCCCCGCCTGGGCTGGCCAGAGAAGGGGGCGGAGCTCCGAGCGGCCGGGGTCGGGGTGAGGGGATCTGGCGGGTTGCCCGCGCTGGACTGAGGGCAGGTGAGCCCGGGGGCGTGGGCTTGCGTAGGAGCTAGAGTGTGAAGGCCCGGGAGAATGCGGGGGACAGGGGGTGAGGGCTGGAGGGTCTGCCAGCTTCCTCCTTGGGAGAGTCCTCTGGGACCCTGGCCGGGGTGGGGGACGTGGGCATGCGAGAAGTCCGCGCCGTGGGGAACGAAGGTCAGGGGGCTAGTCCTCCGCCAGGCAAAGCCCAGGAGGCTGGACTGAGGACCCTGTGCCCCCAGGTGTGTGCTCGGGCGGCCCTCGGTCCCGGCGCGCTCTGGGCCGCGGCCTGGGGAGTCCTGCTGCTCACGGCCCCCGCAGGGGCGCAGCGCGGACGCAAGAAGGTCGTGCACGTGCTCGGTGAGTCTGGATAGCCGAAGCGGGTCTTGCCCCGCAGGAGCCGTGGCCGAATGTGATTGCCTGGCTGCAGGGAGGATATAGAGGGTAGGGTATGGAGCGCTCCTGACGGTCATACTCCACCCCCAACCCCTCCTCCTCTGAGTCCCAGTTCCCTTTCCTGATACCCTTTAACCTTCCGATCCCCTGACCTCGGCCCAAGCCTTCTTCTCACAACACTTCCCTGGGATCCCCTTCCCCCGGTTTCCCATCCCGCCACCTGGGACCTCTTCTGAACCCTGCTTGGCCCTCCCGCAGAGGGTGAGTCGGGCTCGGTGGTGGTGCAGACGGCGCCGGGGCAGGTGGTCAGTCACAGGGGTGGCACCATCGTCTTGCCCTGCCGCTACCACTATGAGGCAGCCGCCCACGACCACGACGGCGTCCGTCTCAAGTGGACTAAGGTGGTGGACCCACTGGCCTTTGCCGACGTCTTCGTGGCGCTGGGCCCCCAGCACCGAGCATTTGGCAGCTACCGTGGGCGTGCGGAGCTGCAGGGCGATGGACCCGGGGATGCCTCCCTGGTTCTCCGAAACGTTACGCTGCAGGATTATGGGCGCTATGAATGCGAGGTCACCAATGAGCTGGAGGATGACACTGGCATGGTCAAGCTGGACCTGGAAGGTAACAGCTTGTGGATGGAATAAAGCATGTGTCTAAGGGAGGAGAGTGGGAAATATTGCAAAGGACAGAAACCAAATCAAGTTGGCCTAAAGGAATTTGAGGCTTGGTAGGGTAGGGTAATTGTTCTGATTTGAGGCGAATTTGCTCACCAAGAACACTGGCAATGTCTAGAAAGGGGTTGCTGATGGCATCTAGTGGGTAGAGGCCAGGGAGGCTGCAATACATCCTACAATGCACAGGACAGCCCCCCACAGCAAAGAAGGATCCAGTCTAAAATGTCAATAGTAAGGACTTTGGGAAACCCTGGAGGTGAGATCCAGGGAGATCCACTCACACCATGTCAGGAATTCCTCCCTCAGCTCTCTTTCCCTAAGTGGGCTTTCTTCAGGCAGGTTTCCCCTGATGGAGCCAAAAAGTAGTGCCAGGCTTCCATCCTCCAACTTAGCAGTTAATTTCCTAGCAGTGCTAGCTAGAGTCCCAGAGTTGTCTCTCATTGGCCCAAGTTAAGTCATGTGCCCATCCATGAGCCAATCACTGTGACTGGGAGATGGGATGCTCTGATTGGATGACTGTGGAGCTGAGAGGTGGGTTTTCTACCTGAAGAATTCTCTCCCGCCTGGTTTGCCTTCCTCAGCCCATCCGAGAAGATTCTAGGAGAGATTTCAGAATCTGTACCTCCCAACAATAGCAAATAACAATAATAGCAGCAGCTCTCCTTTATTGTCCAAATTAAAGAAGTCTCTTGTTTAATTTTCCCTAAAAACTTTGAGGGAGATGCTAGTACCAGCAGATGGGCAACTAGCTCAGAGAGATTAGAACCTTGCTCAGGGTACAAGCAAGTGAGTGGCAGAGCTAGGACTCGAGCCTCGGTCTTCAGCCTCTAGGTGTTCTTTCTGGCCCCTGTTTGGTCCTCCCTGCGTCTGCTGAAAGATGCATCTGCACCTCCAGGGTCTGCCCCTCAAACACACACGCAGAATGCTGCTGAGCTGAGCTGACTGTGGGTCCAATGAAGAGCAAGTTTTAAGAACTGAAGGTGGAAGAGAAACCAGTGGGAACTGCCCTGGACAATGCTGGGGATCAAAGAGGTCTTTGCCCAGGGTCATACTTTCAGGGGCTCCCTGTGGGGGAGTCAGCACTGGACACAGACATTCCCAGCTCCATCAGCTCAGGGCTTGACCAGAGGGAAGCTCCCAGTGCTGGGGGAATGTCAGAAGCACTAAAGATTGAAGGGAGAAGGGTTGTGGGGGTTTGGTTTTGAAGGATGAATAGGAGTTGAGCAGATGGAAGAAGTGGAAAGTACATAAGCAGAGGTCTCCAGTGGTGGAAAGGGGATGGATATGATTAAGTATCTTAAGAGGGAGAGTCAAGTGAATCCCAAGCTTACGGCAAAGGGATCACAAGGGGTGTGAGCTTGGGAACAGCGTGGTCAAGTCTAAGTCCAGAGTGAGGGATGGAGTGGACAGTCTAGGTTGAAGAGTCACGCAGCACCCCAGATGTTAGGTGGGTAGGGGAGGGCTGGGATTCCCGAGCTGAACCCCCTACGTACGTCCTCCCAGGAGTTGTCTTCCCTTACCACCCCCGTGGAGGCCGCTACAAGTTGACCTTCACGGAGGCGCAGCGCGCCTGCGCTGAGCAGGACGGCATCCTGGCGTCCGCAGAGCAGCTGCACGCGGCCTGGCGCGACGGCCTGGACTGGTGCAACGCTGGCTGGCTGCGCGACGGCTCCGTGCAGTACCCGGTGAGCCAGCCCCGGGAGCCCTGCGGCGGCCTGGGCGGAGCTGGGAGCGCCGGGACGGGCGGCGGCACCGCCTCCGGGGGCGTCCGCAACTACGGCTTCCGCCACAATGCTGGAGAACGCTACGACGCCTTCTGCTTCACATCCAACCTCCCGGGTGTGTAGGCCCCGCCCCTAGGAGGGAGACCCCGCCCTCCACAGGCTCGGGGTCCGCCCTACCGGTGAGGCCCCGCCCCCAGAGAGCCCTCTCCCGGGTCCCCCTCCCTCTCAATCTCTTTCCCACCCTCTCAGTTTCCTCCTTTTAGCCCGTCTATCCACTCCGGCCCTTGGGGGCCCAGACCAGGCTATCCCACCCGCGGACTGCCATGGCGCAGCAACCAAGCGTCGCCGGGCATCAACACTGCCCTGGCCAAGGCTGGGGTCCAGGACTGCAGGGGAGAGGGTGTTCCTGAATCCTCTGGCTGGGGTCCTGGGTTGCAAGGCACGTGGGGGTGGGAAGCGTCCTGAATCCCGAGAAGGACAGATCCCGGGAGCGGCCTTAACCACTCTCCCCCACTCCACTGCAGGACGTGTGTTCTTCCTGAAGCCGCTGCGGCCTGTGCCCTTCTCGGGAGCAGCGCGTGCATGCGCGGCGCGCGGCGCGGCCGTCGCCAAGGTGGGACAGCTGTTCGCTGCGTGGAAGCTGCAGCTGCTGGACCGCTGCACCGCGGGCTGGCTGGCCGACGGGAGCGCGCGCTACCCCATCGTGAATCCGCGCGCGCGCTGCGGCGGCCGCCGGCCGGGCGTTCGCAGCCTGGGATTCCCCGACGCCACGCGCCGTCTCTTCGGCGTCTACTGCTACCGTGCACCCGGCGCGCCGGACCCCGCACCCGGCGGCTGGGGCTGGGGCTGGGCCGGAGGCGGCGGCTGGGCCGGAGGCGCGCGCGACCCCGCTGCTTGGGCCCCGCTGCGCGTCTAGGCCCTGGGCGCAGTTGGTTGGGGTGCTTGGCGGCTGGCCGAGTGCTCTGCGGTCTCTTGGAGACAGACCACGTGACTGGAGACTGGTCACGCTCCCTGCGGTGCCCTGCAGGCTGACCAGGCCTCCTGTGGTCTTTGAACACTGGCTGCGCCCCCTGGGGTCCTCACAGACTGGCCAGTTCCCGGAGACTGATCAAGCCTCCACCTCTCCTGGACGGTGGATTTCCCCTCCTCCCTCGACTTTCCCCAGGAGATGGGGCATGCCCCCTGAAGACCCCTGGAGGCCAACAGACCCTGAGGTCTTCTGAAGACTGGCCACTCCTCCCGAGGTTACTTGAAAACAGACAGGACCACCCACCCCGCGGTCTCCTGGAGGCTGGACCCCCAGGATTATCTGGAGATTGGCCTCAGGCCCTCTGCATCTCCCTGGAGACTGAAGACTGATCCCTTATGGTCATCTGGACACTGAACCCTCTTCCCCCTCACATGTAGAGAAACCTCGGAGCTCACCAGGTGATCACGCCCCCGTGCTCACATGGAGTCTGGGCTTCTGTCCTCTCCCCTGTGGAGACCTGGAAATTGGGTATTCCCATTCTTGCCCCTTTCGCTGCGAATCCCTTGAAGTTTGCAGACTAACAGGCCATGTTCCCAGGTCACCCTGAACAGCCCCGCCCCTCCTTTCAGGGGAGACCAGCCTTGTCTGTCACCACTTCAACAGAATGACATGCCCCAGCTGGCTCGCATGACTGGTGGCCATGCCCCTCCCCTCAGGTATCTCTTTGGAGGGAGAAAATCCGCTCCCACCTGATGGACGGCCTCTTTCCTGGCTGTCACCAAAGAGACCATCCCTTGGGCCCAGGGATCCATAGGATCCATGTCACTCACTTGGAGACAAACTGTCCCACGTCCCATTGTTACCAAGGCGACCAGCCCAACTTCTACCTGTAACCTAGTCGCACAGCCCTTCCCTCATCAGTCACACCCAGGAAGATAGTGCCTCCCTCCTCCAGCTGTAACCATGGATACCACACGTTTCCCATCTCGCCTCCGGGACACCAGAGAGCTACAACTCTACTTCTGGATGTCCCCATTCTTACCAAAGCCATGAAGACCACCTTCCCCACCCCAAACTGTCTGGAGAGTGACCCAACATTCAGCTCTCCAGCTCTCACCGTGGGAACAGGCTGCCCCTTTCCCCAGTGCACCCCAGCTCCTTGCCACCCTCCAAACTCTGCCTCCAAGCTGCTAAAACCCCATAGCTGTTGCCATGGAGACCAAACTCTGGTGTCTGAGGTAACCGAACACCTTTCCCCATAGGCTTTCCCAGGTCAGCAGGGCCCCCGCCCCACCGAACTATCACCATAGAGACTGTCAGCATCGTCCCCATGACAACCAACTCCCACCTCTCAGGAACTTCTTACCGTGGGCTAGAACTGCACCCCTTTGGGCTTCATGTCTGCCCCTTAACCAGATAGGCCCAGCTCCGGGCAGCATCCCCAGATATGGCTGGACTACTGGAGCTGCTGGACACCCTTCGTTTGCACGCTAACTATATGCCAGACAACAGTGCATGAGACCCTTGCAACCCCCAGGTGTTTGCATTGCTGCCGTACAGATGAGCAAACTGACTCTGGCAGCCTGGCCCTCTATGCCATGCAAGCACTGGGCTCCCCCCTTCCCTTCTAGACCACATCTCCATTATCACGGAGCTCCTCTCCCCTCTAACTGCCCCTTTCCCCACATTTCACTCCTTAGAGATCCAGGAGAGATGGAATGTTTTTAAGCTTCAAAATCCACAGTGAGCTCCAGGTTCTAAAGTGCAATTTGTGCTAAGAAGTCAGGACCCAGCCAGACGCCCCCCACCCCCAGTGTTGAGAGCCAGTTCAGGAGAGATGGTCCATGAACAAAGCCACTCCAGCTATGGGAGACCTCAGCTCCAAGGTCTTCCATGGAGTAGGACAGTGTGCCCTCCTGGACACACACACACACACACACCCATTGTCACATCCATCTTGAGGAAACCCATCTGTGAGTTTTGGAATCAGGTGGGCTCAGGTTCGAATTCTGCCTCTGTGACCAAGTGACAAACCCCCTGAGCCTGTTTCCTCCTCTGTACCAGAGCTGTTCTGAGGGCCCAGTGAGTGCAAAGCATACAGCAGGGACTCAATAAAAAAACGTGTGGGGTTTTTTTTTGGATGAATGAGAAAATGAGACAGCCAGTGGGTAATTGCTTCATAAATGCACTTTGGTGGATGAAATATTTCCCAGCTGGGGGGGGGGAGGTATGGTGATGATTTGGTTGGGAAGCATCCCCCCTCATTCCTCAGGAGCATCCTCACTCCCCAGTTTCTCCCCCTCTGCCTTCCCCCATTCTGCCTTCACTCTCTTCCTTGCATCATCCCCCATGTGTCTGGCCCTTTTCAGCCCTGTCCTGATTGGGTCGTTGACACATGCGGTGATTCCTGTCAATCCCCCAGGCACAAAGTGTGGAAAACTGGATGGAAAATTCTTGCACCAGGAAGGCAGATTGCAATTTTCCGTGGTGCGGAGGTGGAGTTGGGGGGAGGGGGGGGAATCGTGGACGGAGAAACATTGAAAGTTTCTGGGATACAAGCAAAGGGAGAAGAGAAAAACATGTAAAAGTGATTAGGCTGTAGACGTGAGATAGTCGATGTTACCGCTCATCCTTCAATACCAGATGTGACAGAGCTCCTAGAGATTCAAACCACTCATCTGAAGGCAGGGCCCAGCCCCTTGGTTAGACTGCCTTGGGCCCCAGCTGGGCCTTCATTTCCTTGAATAGGGGAATGGTAGGGGCATATTTCCAGGGATGAGTGCATAGGATTTTTTCACCCCGCCTTTTCCCTGCTGGCATCCTCTCTCCCTTCCGTGGTTCCAGTTTCCTAGTTTTTCTCATGAATATGTAACTTTTTAACCACCACTCGTACAATGAGAGTCAGAGGGGTTGACACACCCCCTTCCAGTTCAGCCAATGAATGCTGTGGCACACCTCCTGGGAAACCCTGATTGGTTCAGGGAGGGATAGGGAAGCGGGTGGACCGTGTGACTGAGCGCCTGGGATTTTGGAGAACCAATTGGGCCAAGGGAACCTTCTTTCTGCTGGAGTCGCTTCATTGTTGGAGTGGAGGTCTCCAGGGACCACCTGAAGGAGAGCTAAGGGATGGCAACCGGGATAGAACCCTTCCTGACGCCAGATATTCCGGAAAATCGCTCTTTCCCATCCTACACCACTCAGTTCACTGTCCGGAAACATCCAAAGTTTCTTACAAGCCCTTCCAGAGATGTTTTATGTTCATTCAAGCAAACATGCATATGTATTTCCCCCCTTTTTACACAAATGGCATTTACACAGCTCACACTGTTGTAGCATATCTATCTAGTTCCAAGACATTTTTATCATCCCCAAAGGAGACACCATACCCATTAAGCAAATGCACCCCATTCTTCCCTTTTCCCTCCCCTCTGCCCTGGCAACTGCTCATCTGCTTTCTCTCTCTATAGATCTGCGTATTCTTGATGTTTCATATAAATAGAATAATATAGGGGCACCTGGGTGGCTCAGTCATTTGGGTTTTTTGTTTTTGTTTGTTTTGTTTTGTTTTTGACTCTTGATTCCCGCTCTGGTTGTGTTTTCAGGTGGTGGTATGGAACCCTCCATTGGCTCCAACCTGGGCGTGGAGCCTGCTTGAGATTCTCTCTCTCCCTCTCCCTCTGCCTCTCCTCCCTGTTCGCTCTCACGCTCAATAAATAAATAAATAAATAAATAAATAAATAAATAAATAAATGGAATCTTATAATATGTGCCATTTTGTGTCTGTCTGGCTTCTTTCACTCAGCATGTTTTTGAGGTTCATCCATGTTGTGACATGTATCAAGACTTTATTCCTTTTTATGGCTGAATAATATTCTGTGGTATGTATATACCACATTTTGTTTATCCATTCATCAGTTAATGGACATTTGGGGTTTTCCACCTTTTGGTGATTGTGAATAATGCTGTTATGAACATTCATGTGCCATGTTTACTTTTAAAGTCACTCTTCTTTTACTTAATACTGTATTTTTGAGATAGTTTCAATCACCATATAAAGATCCCCCACCCCCACATTCTTTTGAACGTTGGCAGAGTATTCATTGTTTGGATGCACCATAGTTTTTGTAGCCCATCTCCTAATGGCAGATGTTTAGATACCCCTATTTTGCTGTTAATAATAAGTTCTCACATCACCTCACACAAGTGCAAGTATGATATCAAGAGTTGTTTAATCAAGGAGTTAAACTGGCCATTTTGATAGTGATCTCTACCTCTTCTTAGAGGTGGGGCCAATTTATACCCCACCAGTAATAGATGTACCTGCCTCTTTCCACACATCCTAATCAGCATCGTGTGTTACCACTTTTTATTTTAGCCAACCTGATAGGTTAAAAAAAAAAAAGGTATCTCATTGTGGTTGTCACTTGCAATTCTCTTATTATGTGTGAGGCTGAACAAACATCCTCCACTTTGACCTTAGGTGCAGGTGGGTGAGGAAGTCATAAATCATTCGCAGTTTGGGTATGTTGTCATCATTGATCAATGCAAGTCCCCTCTCTTGTTAAATTTATTCGATTCTCTTTTTAAATATGCTCTTTATTCATCCTGGCGTCCTTGCAAAATGTGTATTATTTTGTTGAGTATATGTTGTAGTTTAAGAGCATCTGTATTTCTTTTTCTGTCAACTTTTTATTCATAGACTTTGCTTATTTGGCTATTGGATTATCAGTCTTTTTTCCCCATTAGTTTGTAGGAGCTCTTTATGTATTAAGACAAGTCCTCGCTCTCTGATTTGAAAAATTGTTCCCAAGCTTGGCATTTACCTTTTGACCTTGTTTATATTTTTTGTTTTGCTTTGCTTTTTGTTTTGTTTTTGCCATTATTTCTTTTTAAATAAAGCCTAAACTCCTCACTACAGCCTCTATGGCCCTGAGTGGTCCATCCTCTGCGTCTCTGACCTCATTTCCTTCCACTATCTACCTCTATCACTCTGCTCCAGCCACTACAGATTCCTTGCTGTTTCTCAAATAAAGCACATCCTTTCTGCAAGAGGATATTTGCCTTTGCTCTTCCCTCTGCCTGCAATTGTCTTCTTTTCTTCCTCTTCTCATCTAGTTAACACTACTCCTCCTTTAGATTCCATCCACCTCCTCGAGGAAGGCTTCCTTGACCACCTCCCAGGGGCCATGTCTGTCTTGTTCACCATTATCTCTCCAGCACCCAACACAGTACACGGCTCATAACAGTTGCTCAGTAAGTACGTGCTGAGTGAATAAATGAAGAAAGGTCTCAGGAGGTGACAGACAGGTTGAACTGTTAAAAAATTTTATTAAAATGTCCAAGAAGTACATTAATGTCCACAGTGTCAGATACCACAGACCCACAGAACACTGCAGCTCACAGCAAAACCAGCAGAACCTGAAGCTGTTCACACGCACACACACTCACACGCATGCCACCTACGCGGCACACGCAAACACACACGCACATCCCAAAGGGAAAGACTAAAAGACAAACCACCCACTTTAGAAAAGACCAGAGCCCCCTCCCACCATGGAGCTGGGGTGGAGGCAGAGCAAGGGACTAAGGGGGCCACGGGCAGGGAGCATAAACCAAGACCCCCCCAAAAAAGTTGCATCCCCAGCACCACCCCCCAAGGAAAATCATTTTATGACATGAATTACTGAAGATGTGTTATTATATTTTTTAACCAAAAAAAATTATCAAAGCAAGAAGGCAAATGTACATCCCTGGGCTTTCTCTATAACTGTAAGGTGGAACAGCGGATAATGTCTGTAGCAGGGAAGACTGATGACCACGGTCAAGGATAAGGGTCTAGCTTGCACTTCTCAATCTTTTCCTAAGCCTGCCTATGGATGTGAGAGAGTGCAATTATGTTTCAACCCTTTCCCCCAAAGTAAAGAGCAGTGTTTGGAGTCACAGAGGAAGGACCAAATCCTTGCTCCTGTCTTGGCTGTGACTTCAAACCAGTGCCTTTCTCTTATCTGAGCCTCAGTTTTGTCATGTGTAAAATGGGGAAATAATGGTTCCAAAATCACCGGGCTGTTGAGAAGATTCAAGGAGATAAGTGTGTGAGTCCTTAGCACAGTATAGACTCCATAGTTGTCAACTATGATTATTACTTCCCAGGAGGAACATAGGCTCAATGAACACATTTCTTTCTCTACTGAACCCTTGAACCATATGTTTGCTTATTTTTCTTCCTGCAGAGGGTCATTCCCCATTTGGTTTTTAACACAAATCCACAGATTTTTCCCAGAATAGAGGAGTTGAGAGTGGACAAAATATAGAGGATAAGCTGTAGGTTTTTCCTGCCAGAGATCAGGGAAGTGAATCCTGGCCTTTGGCCTGGAAAGTTCTTTTATAGGTTGCAGATTTGGGGGAACAGATTTAGTTAGTTCTTTCCCACTTAAAAGATTTTTAAAAACGACGAGAGAAAAATGTGTGTGTGTGTGTGTTCATGTGTATGTGTGTGTGTTTCGGTTTTAACACTGTGCATTTCTCTACAACATAACCGCAGGTAGATGTCACTACTTCAAGTTTTAAGCGTTTCTAGTCCGCCAGGCAATGAATGGAGACAGGGATGGGGCAGGAGTAGGAGCGGGACCCAGGGCAGGGGCACTACTGATGTCTCTTGAGGGACGGGTATGGGCACTGAGCTAGAAAACTTGGCACCTCCTTGGTCCAGGAAGGAGGTTCTTTGTCTCCCTGAGAGATGGAGGGGGAAGAAATCTGGGCTCATCAAGCCCTAAACATCCTCTCATCTGTGTGTGTGAGAGAGAGATTCACCACACATACAGAACCACCAAATCTCAGCACTGGACTCGACCTGGGAGGGTAAGCAATACACCTTCCCTCCATTGCCCATTATTGCTCTGACTATTCTGACCCCTAACTCTGAGGGCACAGAAGGAGGTTGTTCTAAAACATTCCTAAAATTCAATACATAGGAGTTCCACACTCCATTTATTCCCCCAAGACCAAAGACGGAGCTTGGGCTGAAGTCCAGGGTGAAGGAAGAGCAACTGTCAAGTTCAAGCAGTGTGCTTTCAACTCCCAAAACCAACGACCTTAACTAAAAGCTTCAGCCTGCATTTAGGACCTCTGATGGTTTACTAAGCCTGCATGTCTGGTGTGATAAGCAATTCCTTAATGTGAATCCAAACAGACACTCTTGCACCCTCATCAAAGCCTTATTTCAACAAGTGGTAGTCAGCCTCGCCAACACAAGACTTAACCAGTGCAAAGAATGATCTTTGCCATAATGTGCTTCCCTTCACTGGGAGATGCTCCCAGAGTTCAGCCTGACTAGAACTGACTTTTCAGACACCTGGCTTTGCCTGCCAAGTGGACCATGTGTATATAAGAAAGAGGAGAGAGGAGCTTTTTACAAAGGGTTATGGAGGGGGGATGTGGTTTGGGGCTCAGGGGATTCCAGACCCTCTTGTTTTTCTCTGGGCTCTGTCTCCCCAGGTGAAGGCTCCAGAGAAGGTGTGGGAAAGGGGTTGTGCTTCCTTTTGCCTGGTTCTTCAGCAGAAATTCCCTTCTTCCTTCTCCCAGTCCTCCACTGGGTGTCTCTTGTGTTTTCTGCGTTCCTTGCGCGATTTGTGGTGGTGATGCTGGTGGTGGTGCTGGTGGTGGTGATGGTGTCGCCGCATCCGATGGGACCGTCTGGCTGCAGGGAAATGAGGGAGGACAAGGAAGTGGCAAGAGGTGGTGAGAGGAGGGTGGCCTGATGCAGCGGGCCTTTTCAGGGGGAGGAGAAGTGAAGGAAACACCAGGCAGGCTGGTAAGTTCTCACTTATCCACAAGGCTGTATTATCAGGCAGATCAAAATGTGTAGTAAGATGTTTTAATTGGAGACTACAAATAGCTGGAAACTTGTGTTGAGGTGTCTGGGGACAGCCACTTACGTTTGGTGCAGACGATCTGGGGCTGATCCCACTTGCCATTGCTCCGGCATCGGATGACAGCCACGTGGTGCTGGGTAAATCCTTCATCACATTGATACCGGACAGTGGCATGGACGTTATACTTGGCCTTGCGAGCACCAATGGGTGAGGCGTTCTGCACTGCCGGAGGGGGACCACACAGTACTGGAGACAGAAGAACCACCAGTTAGGGAAGTGGCCACATCTGGGGCTGAAATGGTTTCCTCTCTTTGGGGGAATAATATACCCCTCAGCAAGTCCTGCCCCTTGCCCAGCTGTGACCCTGCACGACCAGATACGACTGTGTCTGTCTCCTCTATCCAAACTGGGAGCTCCTTAGGGGCAGAAACCTCCTGGACACATCCCACCCTCCTCAATTCTTATGCATGGTGGCAATGAAGCAGATGGGAGACAAGAATAAATTTGAGCAAATGAAAAGAAGAAAGTACATGAAAACTGGCAAAGAAACATAAGTAAGAATAAACAAAAGTATCAGAGAAAGGCGGACATGAGAATGCTTATAAGTGTTCTCTTAATATGTAAAGAGTTCTTACAAATCAATAAGACCAACAAACCTATAGAAAGTTATGCAGAGGAGATGAACTAGCAGGTCCCAGGAAAATAAACACCTACAAATAGCTTATTGACATATGAACAGTTGGTTATTCTCATCCTTAAAGACATGCAAATGACCATAACAAGTAGATACTATCTTTTTCCCCACTTAGATGAACAAAGAACAAAAAGTTTGGGAACACAGAGTTGGCAAAAGTGGGAAAAAACAGGCACTCTTACACAGTGCTGTAGTGA